GAGAGAGACAGAGAGAAAGGTCTTCCTTTCTTCCTTTTGCCGTTGGTTCACCCTCCAATGGCCGCCGCGGCCGGTGCGCTGCGGCCGGCGCACTGTGCTGATCCGAAAGCAGGAGCCGGGTGCTTTTCTTGGTCTCCCATGCGGGTGCAGGGCCCAAGTACTTGGGCCATCCTCCACTGCCTTCCCGGGCCACAGCAGAGAGCTGGACTGGAAGAGGGGCAATTGGGACAGAATCCGGCACCCCAACCTGGACTAGAACCCGGTGTGCCAGCGCCGCTGGGTGGAGGATTAGCCTATTGAGCCGCGGCGCCGGCCCCCAGTGGCATCTTAACTGCTGGGCCAAATGCCAACCCTTGGAAGGGCAATGGTCCACAACAGGTAATATTCTACCTCCTTCTCTGGGTTCTCATAAAATTAATTTTTTAAAGATTTATTTATTTATTTGAAAGAGTTACACAGGAGAGGAGGGGAGAGAGAGAGAGGGAGGGAAGGAGGGAGGGAGGGAGAGAGGTCTTCCATCCACTGATTCACTCCCCATTGGCCTCAGCGGTTGGAGCTGTGCCGATCCGAAGCCAGGAGCCAGGAGCTTCTTCCAGGTCTCCCACGTGGGTGCAGGGGCCCAAGGACTTGGGCCATCTTCTACTGCTTTCGCAGGCCATAGCAGAGAGCTGGATTGGAAGTGGAATAGCCGGGTCTTGAACCGGTGCCCACATGGGATGCTGGAGCTTCAGGCCAGGGCGTTAACCCGCTGCACCACAGCACTGGCCCCACATAAAATTAATTTTTTAAAGCAACTTTTTTGAAATGCAATTTGCATACAATAAACTGTATACTTCAGGTGGACAATTTGGTAAATTTTCACAGATGTATATAATGGTGAAGACATCAGCACCATCAATATAGTGAATGAAGCCATCACTGCCAAAAAGTTTTAACCTAATTTTATTCTTTTTTTTCTGATCTTTGTTTTTCTCAGAGAGAGCCTCCCTCCCAATTTTTAAGTACCCTAGGTTCACAAAATTCTGGATTTGCTCTTCTACAGAAAGGCTCAAATGGAACCAGAATAAGTAAATACTTTGAAAATTAGGTTGTAAAAGGTTATTCAAAGTATATACTTTGAAAATTAGAAGTAAAAGGTTATTTGCACTGATTTAACTCACACCTGTCTTAGAAAGCTAAAAGAGTTTTTGGAACCTCCGGTCAGCATCTTTTTTAAAAGATTTATTTGAAAGGCAGAGTGACAGAGAACACGCATGCATACGTTGGATCCTCCCTCCACTGGTTCATTCTCCGAATGGCGGGGGCTTGGCCAGGCTGAAGCCAGGAGCCAGCAACTCCATTTGGGTTTCCTGTGTGGGTGGTGGGGACCCAACCACCTGGGCCATCTTCCACTGCCTTCACATTAGCAAGAAGTTGGATCAGAAGTGGAACAGCCAGGACTTGAACCAGTGCTCTGATATGGGATGCCAGTGTCATTTGCTGTGTCACATTGCTCCCCTCTCCCACACTGGCATCTTGCCATTCATTTAACAGTTTTCCAGGGCCTATAATGTTCAGGCAGTTTCTATGGTGTTTGGTATAGATAAGTGAGTAAACAGAAGAAGTTCCTGTTCTCATGGAACTTTCCTTTTTTTATTTTTATTTTTTGAAGATTTTATTTATTTTATTTGAGAGTTAGAGTTACAGACAGTGAGAGCGAGACAGAGAGAAAGGTCTTCCTTCTGCTGGTTCACTCCCCAGATGGCTGCAATGGTCGGAGCTGTGCTGATCCAAAGCCAGGAGCCAGGAGCTTTTTCCTGGTCTCCCATGCAGGTGCAGGGGTCCAAGGACTTGGGCCGTCTTCCACCACTTTCCCAGGCCACAGCAGAGAGCTGGATTGGAAGTGGAGCAGCCGGGACTAGAACTGGCGCCCATATGGGATGCTGGTGCTGCAGGTGGAGGATTAACCTACTGCACCAAGGCGCTGGCCCTGGAACTTCTCTGATGGGGCCCAGGGAAGCCAACAGTGCTCAGGCAAGCATTTAGTAAAGAAATTGAGACACCTGTGCCCCATATTGGAGTGCTCGTCGGTAGCTCTACTCCCTAGTCCAGCTTCCTGTCTGTGCACACCCTGGGGGGACAGCAGTGACAGCTCAAGAAGTTGGGTCCCTGCCACCCATGTGGGAGACCTGGAGCCCAGCCCTAACTGTTGCGGGCATTAGAGGAGTGACCCAGCGGATGGAGGATCTAGCAGAGCTCTCTCTAGGATTTGTCTATCTCTGTCTGCCCGACTTCCTGTATGGTATGTGAAAGGTGTTGTGAAGAAAAGACAGGTAGTACGAAGTGCCGGGGTGGGGTGGGCAGTGATTTCAGTTCTCAGCGAGGTGGGCAGTGCAGGTCTCCCTGAGACTACGGCGCTGAACCTTGAGACCGTCAGGGACGCTGCTGCTCGTCTCCCAGAGCATTGAGCTCCGCTGGTGGAGAAACCAGATCCAGAAAGGCCCTGAGCGAGAGTGGGTCCAGCTGGTTCCAGGGGCAGCCAGGGGCCAGGAGGGTGGAGTGGAAGGGACCGGGGAGGTGGCTGAGCGTGGAGGGGTGAATGGATCCCACGGCAGCTTCCAGAAATCGCAGGGACTTGGACCCTTTGGTCTGCGGGAGACATAAGCCTTTGGAGGGCTTCTGAGTTCTGATAGGATCACTGCAGCTGCTGTGTTGAGAGTGGAGTGGGAGTAGGTGGGAGGGAGTGTCAGCCTCCAGGGCAGCGTGACCATGGTGGGTGAGGCTGCTGGATCCTGGATAGGTTCTGAAGGTGGAGCCATTGCAGACGCGTTCACCCATTCATTCAGTGCATCGGTGTCCAGGTCTCAATGGTCCATACTTGAATGTTGAGAAGCTGACCGGGACAGATCACTGACCACGCTGCTTCCTGTGTACAGGGCTTGGTCTCTGAGCTCCCCCGGACTAAAGCACTCCCTGCCTCCTTCCCTGCGGTCATCCCACCCACGACCCCAGACCTGCAACTCTTCCCTCTCAGCATGTGTTCCCTGACTCCGGAACTGCTCTCCACCCTTGCCCTTACACTAGTCTCTGAACTAGACTGTGTACCTGGGCCTAGAACTTGCTCAGTTTATAAGGAAACTGAGCCACAAAATGTTCTCACTGAGCCTAAGTTAAGATCTGTCTCCTAAGTCTGTGACAATTTAGTTAGAAAAATCTGGAGGAAAAACCCTGAAGGAACCAGATTTGGGAAGAAATGGCTGGGTGCAGGTGTTGCTGGGGCCCCATGGCTCATCACAGTGGGTGATACCTTCAGCCCTCTTGCATGTCATGGCTGCAGCCTGAGTGCCTCTGGTTAGACGTGGAGTGGAACTGTTGAACATTCGCTGGGCTGCTGAAGGAGCCTGTTCAGTGTCTTTCCCTGGGAAGCTTTGGGAAGAGACATCTTGCTGGGCTTGCGGTACTAAGTGTCGATCAGCTCACAGGCAGTGTCCCCCAAGTCTGCTCCTTCCCTCTGTCCTGCCTCCTCTGACAGAGTTGGGTTGCTGTTCCAGGCCAGCAGTCTTCTTGGCAAGCAGGACCTCTTCAGCACGGCCTCTTAATTCAACCTTGGCAGTGGAGAAAGGTCAGCTGGGGGGCCGGCTTGGCCTCGCCGAGCTCTCTGGTTACTGCCCAGGTGGCCAGCAGCCCACTCGTCTCACCTGCCCCCTGCATCAGCAGCTTCCTTCTGTAGACAGCAGTTCCAGGCCCAGCGGGACAGGGCAGGCTGGCTGCTGTACCCACTGGCTGCAGGGGTGGAGTCAGGGGTGATAAATTCTCATTCAAATCTTCTGGGCCTGCTTCTCCCCTGTCCATTGCTCTTCTGTAGGGCCTAAGTGAATGCCCATGCCACCTCTGCACCTGAACTGACGACTTAAACCTGTCTGTAGCATGCGCTGGACCCATCCTGCGGGCATACATTACCACTTAGATGCCAACGCAGGGAACTTCTTGTCGCGGTCAGGTTTGTGATAACAGAAAATAGGGACGGCTCCTTGCAGTTTTCCAGGGTCTTGCAGACACAGCATTGGCCTCTAGGAGCCTGGACCCCTGGGGAGTGCTCAATGCTACCCATCAGCTGGTGTGGGAGTGCTCAGTACTACCCCTCAGCTGGTGTAGGGAGTGCTCAGTACTACCCATCAGCTGGTGTGGGAGTGCTTAATACTGCCTGTCAACTGGTGTGGGAGTACTCAATACTACCCATCAGCTGGTGTGGGGAGTGCTCAGTACTACCCATCAGCTGGTATGAGGAGTGCTCAGTACTACCCATCAGCTGGTGTAGGGAGCGCTCAGTACTACCCATCAGCTGGTGTGGGGAACGCTCAGTACTACCCGGCAGCTGGTATGAGGAGTGCTCAGTGCTACCCATCAGCTGGTATGAGGAGTACTCAGTGCTACCCATCAGCTGGTGTGGGGAGCGCTCAGTACTACCCATCAGCTGGTGTGGGGAGTGCTCAGTACTACCCATCAGCTGGTGTGGGAGTGCTCAGTACTACCCATCAGCTGGTGTGGGGAACGCTCAGTACTACCCATCAGCTGGTGTGGGAGTGCTCAGTACTACCCATCAGCTGGTGTGGGGAACGCTCAGTACTACCCGTCAGTTGGTGTGGGGAGTGCTCAGTACTACCCGTCAGCTGGTATGAGGAGTGCTCAGTACTACCCATCAGCTGGTGTGGTAGTGCTCAGTACTACCTATCAGCTGGTGTGGGGAACGCTCAGTACTACACATCAGCTGGTATAGGGAGCACTCAGTACTACCCGTCAGCTGGCGTGGGGAGCACTCAGTACTCCCCGTCAGCTGGTTTGAGTCTGAGCCCAGGCTGCAGATGGGGACCAGCTGGGTTTCCTGCTACTAGCCCAGGCCTCCTCTCACACTCTGTCTCAGTACTTTGCTCCCATGCCCACCTCTCCCAGACAGGATAGGACATCTTGTAAGACCTCCCTAGTCTCTCCCCTCCCACTGAGAAGCTGTGGTGTCTTTGCAGGTCGGAATGAGCTGATTGCCCGCTACATCAAGCTTCGGACAGGGAAGACCCGCACCAGGAAGCAGGTGGGCCTGGGGAGATAGGCGTGGGACCCAGGGACAAGTGTCTCATTCCTAGCTCCCAAAGGGCCACACTGTCCCTGAGACCAAGGCCAAACATGGGCTCTCAGCTGGGACAGCTATGATGGGTGATCTCTGGTGGGTGTCCCTGCTGCCATCACCTAGGACGAAGCCCCTTGCTTCTCTGGGGAATCAGCTGCCCCCTTTCCCCAGCCTTCTCCAGGACAGCCCCACCGACGGACCCATTGGTTCGTTCATTGATTTTGTTCAGTCCATCCACAAATGTGGTTTGAGGGCTGAGCATCAGGGCAGCTGGGGTGGAAGCAGAGGTCTGGGAGGTCGGGATAGGAGCCCTCTCTCCCTGCCACAGGTCTCCAGCCACATCCAGGTGCTAGCTCGTCGTAAAGCCCGCGAGATCCAGGCCAAGCTCAAGGTAAGGCCCGCTGCAGTGGTGGGAGGGAGGGAGGGGCCGCTGAGCACAGGTGGGGCCGGCTTCCCTGATGTTGGTGCTGTTTGTGCAGCAGGAAGGGGCTGGCTGCTTGTGTGCTGAGCCAGTGTGCTGCTTGCTATTGAGGAAGGTTAAGTTCAGTCTGTGACCTTGCTGCTGCCTGCCACTTGACGTCTGGACTTTATGTGACCGCAGAGCTCCAGGCCCAATTTCCTGCTCCTGGCTCCTGCTCCAGGGGGTCTACACAGCTCAGATCAGCCACATCACCCTCCAGACCCCATTGTTGGAAGACCTCAGGAGCCCTGCTGGCCTCTAGGTGCCACTGAGCAGAGCCTGCGAGGGTGGCAGGGACAGGAGGCACAGTGTAGAGGGTGGGTTTTATGTATTGGGGCAGGGAGCTGGTGGAATTCTGTCCTGGGATTGGCAGTTCCTTCTCCCCGGGTCGTGGGGTCTCTCTGTGCACAGGATCCCTGGCAGTACAGCCCTGCTCCCACCAACAGTCAGGCCTTGAGGACCTGGAGCCAGGAGCCCTTGTTATGAATACTAGGAGAGGGTGAGCTCTCCGCCCATCTTGGGCTGTTAACAAGAGAGCCCGCACAGCCCCTAGCCTTAGACCTGACCAGACCAGTAGCTGGCAGGCTTTTTTTTTTTTTTTTTTTTTTTAAGATTTATTCATTTATTTGAAAGGCAGAGTTACAGGGTTCGGGGGGGGGTCTTCCATCTGCTGATTCACTCCCTAGATGGCTACAACCACTGGAGCTGTGCTGATCTGAAGCCAGGAGCCGGGAGCTTCCTCCGGGTTTCCTACGTGAGTTCAGGAGCCCAAGGACTTAGACCATTTCCTGTTGCTTTCCCAGGCCATAGCAGAGAGCGGGATTGGAAGTGGAGCAGCCAGGCTAGAACTGGTGCCCATATGGGAAGCCAGCACTGCAGGTGGCGGCTTCACCCGTTATGCCACTGCACCAGCCCCCAGACTTTCTTTTTAAAGCAATGGAGGCTCCTTTGGCTTTCTTTCCCAAATAGAATCCACAGTTTGCTCTGGGGGCAGCAGTTTAGTCAAAGCTGGCTTGGCAAGAAGCAGACCTAAGACTCCCTCCTTTCATGGGGCCTCTTGTACCCCATGACATTCGCACCCTAAGATACTCCAGTAATCTGTGATCCTGACACTCAGCATGAGTGGGTGGGAACAGACCTTCAAGCCTCCTGGGAAGCCACACCCAGTGCCTGCTCAGTTCCGTTCAGCCCAGCTGTCCCCTTCCCCGCCACAGCTGTGGCCCACACCTCGCTCCTTTGTCCCTGGACAGCTGGCTGGGTCGCAGCTGTTGCTCCCTCCCTATCAAGCTGCCACATGGACCCCTGGAGCGCAGCTTGCTCCTCATGTCCCCTCTCTGGTCTGCTTCTGTCTCCCTGGGACCCCAGCAGGTGACAGAACAGACTTCCCAGTGTTGTGGCCAAAGGAACATTTAATTCCCTTGGTGGCCTGGCTGTACTGCCTGGATTCTCTCCAGGGAGTTGCACCTGTTCTTGTCCACAGGTTCTTCCCTGGGGCCCCAGGACAGTCCCAGTGGATTGTTCAGCAGGCACCAGGGAGCCTTAAAATAATACAAACTGTCGTGAATATGTGTGCTTTCCTGGAGAGATTGATTGGTCTGAGGACTGTGTCCAACTCGCAAGGGCTCTGGGACCCAGAATAACTAAGCTGGGGCCTGTTCAGCAAGGTCAGGTGGAAATCCTCGCCTGCCACGGCCAGGATCCAGCCCTGGCCCTGCCCTGGTGACTGACCCTGGGCGCTCCTTGAGCGCCGTTCGGTTTCCTCATCTGTAAAGTGGCAGGGTTTGGTAAGGTCCCGTCCGTGGCCCCCTCCCCCACAGCGGCCCAGCTCCAGAATTTGGCGACTCCCTGGCTCCGCTGCCCCTGATGTCACTGCCACTTCCTCCTGACTCCGGCCCCACCCGCCAAGGCCGTGGCTTCCTGAGCCACAGTCGTTTGTTTAGATTGGGAGTCTGGGAAGGGCCGAGGGCTGCTGGCACCGAGCGGATGGAGCTCTCCGGCCTCGTGAAGAGGTTGTTGGTCACAGAGGCCGGCAGGCTGTCCTTGCGCTGGGGAGGAGCGCACCTCCTTGCTAGCTCCCTCTGCCTGTCAGAGCCAGGCCCAGGGGGTGGTGGGAGAGTGGGGAGGGGCCGGGGACATGCCTCATCTACTTCCCTGCTTTGTCTAAACAGGGCTGACCCTGTTGTGTGAGCAGGAGCTGTCAGATCCCCTCACCTCTCCCCCCTCTCTTGGTGTGTGAGGCTCCTCTGGCCAGTCTGGACGTCTCCGTCTGTTGCCTGTCACTATGACAAAATACCAGAGACTGGGTGAATTATAAAGAAGGGTTTATTAGCCTGGCGGTTCTGGGGGCTGGGAAGCCTGGGAGAACGGCGCTGGCTTCTGGTAGCATCTTCTTGCTGCGTAACATAGTGGAGGGCACCACGTGGTGAGACAGAGCAGGCTTGCTTGTGCCGTCATGGGGTCCCAACATGAGCTCTTCGTCTGTGGGGTCCCATCGTGACCTCCTTGTCTGACCCTAACCACCCCCGCACAGGCCCCCTCCAAGTACCGTCAACACAGGGCTGGGGTTAAGTTTCCAACCCCATACCTGGACAGGCTGGCAGGGCCATCACTGTTAGCCCTCATCACTGAGTCACCCCTATTTTTTTTTTAAGCTTTTATTTAATGAATACAATTTTCATAGGTACAACTTTGGGAATATAGTGATTCTCCCCCCTCCTCCATACCCACTGTCCTCTCACTCCCATCCCATTCTTCTTTAGATTCATTTTTAATTAACTTTATATACAGAAGACCAACTCTATACTAAGTAAAGATTTCAACAGTGTGTGCATGCGCACACACACACACACACAAATACAATGTTAAAAAGTACTGTTTGAGGGGCCGGTGCCACGGCTCACTAGGCTAATCCTCTGCCTTGTGGCGCCGGCACACTGGGTTCTAGTCCCGGTCGGGGCGCCGGATTCTGTCCCGGTTGCCCCTCTTCCAGGCCAGCTCTCTGCTGTGGCCAGGGAGTGCAGTGGAGGATGACCCAACTACTTGGGCCCTGTACCCCATGGGAGACCAGAAGTACCTGGCTCCTGCCATCGGATCAGTGCAGTGCGCCGGCCGCAGCGTGCCAACTGCGGCAGCCATTGGAGGGTGAACCAACGGCAAAGGAAGACCTTTCTCTCTGTCTCTCTCTCTCTCACTGTCCACTCTGCCTGTCAAAAAAAAAAAAAAAAAAAAAAAAAAGTACTGTTTGAGAGCAAGTTTTGCAGTTAATTCTCATAGTACAACTTATTAAAGACAGAGGTCCTACATGGGGAGTAAGTGCACAGTGACTTCTGTTGTTGATTTAACAATTAACACTCTTATTTATGACCTCAGTGATCACCCAAGGCTCTTGCCATGAGCTGCCAAGGCTATGGAAGCCTTTTGTGAACACAAACTCTGTCAATATTTGAGAAGGCATTAAGCAAAGTGGAAGTTCTCTCCTCCCTTCAGAGAAAAGTGCATCCTTCTTTGATGGCCCCTTCTTTACACTGGGTCTCATTCACAGAGATCCTTCATGTAGGACATTTTTTTGCCACAGTGTCTTGGCTTTCCATGCCTACATTGCACTGAGTCATCTTAAAATTGGTGCTCCATCCCTACGGGAGTCACAGTGCTCATGAAACCCTTCCATAGGCTGTCTCGTGCCACACGAGCCACCCAAGAGGCCGGGTGGGAGTGCCTGTTGCACTCTGCTCCACAGGCACACATCGATCCCTGGCTGGGCACCTGGACTCCTGAGTGTGTGGACCAAGGGAAGTTGTCCTTTGCACCTGCTCCAGCACTCCTGCCATGGCCAGTGCCTCCCAATTTCTGTATCACTCAAGGCAAATCAGTGTCTACCCAGTTGTTACTCATTTCTTTAAATCAGTTCCCTGTAACATTTTTCTCCCTCTTTTTAAAAAATACTGCTCATTACTTCATTTGAGAGGCATAGAGACAGAGCTTCCATATGCTGGGTCACTCCCCTAATGCACAGGAGCTGGAAGCTCAGTGCAGGTCTCCCATGTGAGTGGCAGGGACTCGAGTACTTGAGCCATCACCTGCTGCCTCCCACACTGCACATTAGCAGGAAGCTGGAGTTAGGAGTAGAGCCAGGACTTGGACATGGGCACTCTGATATATTCTGTGGGTGTCCCAAGTCACGTTTTAACTATTGCATAAAATACCGACTCCTCGGCCGGCGCCTCAGCTCACTAGGCTAATCCTCCGCCTTGCCGTGCCGGCACACCGGGTTCTAGTCCCGGTCAGGGCGCCGGATTCTGTCCCGGTTGCCCCTCTTCCAGGCCAGCTCTCTGCTGTGGCCCAGGAGTGCAGTGGAGGATGGCCCAAGTGCTTGGGCCCTGTACCCCATGGGAGACCAGGATAAGTACCTGGCTCCTGCCATCGGATCAGCGCAGTGTGCCGGCCATAGCGCGCCAGCCGCGGCAGCCATTGGAGGGTGAACCAACGGCAAAGGAAGACCTTTCTCTCTGTCTCTCTCTCTCACTGTCCACTCTGCCTGTAAAAAAAAAAAAAAAAGAAAAAAAAGAAAATACCCACCCCTCTCCCTCTGTTTTATTATTTGAGAGTCAGGGACATATAGAGAAAGAGAACATATGCACTCATCTACTGATTTATTCCCCAAATAAACCTCATCTGAGCCAGGGCCAAAGCCAGGAGCCAGGAACTCCATGTGTGTCTCCCACATGGGTGACAGAGACCCATCTACTTGACCCATCACCACTGCCTTCCAGGTCTGCACCAGCAGGGACAGGCATTGGGAACAGAGGCAGGTATCAAACCCAGGCACTCTCATATGGGATGTGACATTTTAACCACTGGGCCATATGCTTACCTCTGTTGTTAAGTATTAAATGATGATTCATTCTTTTCCCCATTAAAAAACTCATCATAGAGGATTTCTAATCAGAGCTTCTAAGTTGACATAATCAAACCATTTAGTCCCCATAAAGCTGTACATACGTACTTGCTGTTCCAGTCTGTGTGGTTTTATTTTGGATAGAGCTGTAATTCCCATTAGGCTTTTTGAAATGGAGAATGTTGTCTCCTGAGTTGTGAAGACTTTTGGGGCTGGCCAGCACAAGGTGGGAACCCCTGGCTCACTCCAGGAAACAAAAAGCCTGTTGTTACCCAGTGCAAATGACCTTCCCAGGGACTTGTTAGTTCAGGGCTGGGCACCCAAGGAGGGCAGACAGTAGATGTTTCCATTCTGACGCTTGCAAGGTAACCAAGTCGCATGCTGCCCACATTGCAGGGGACACCTGTAGGTCAGGATTGAGGCTGGTATGACTGCAGGAGACAGTCGTTTCCCTCCAGGCCACCCGTGTGGTCAGGGGTGGTTCCTCTTGTACCCTCGATACATCCGGCAGCTCTCCCTGCACCATCTGTCATGGGCCGGGTGCTGAGCTCGGCACCTGTGGCACAGGGGTGAGCAGGCAAAGACCCCTGTTCCTGGGGGGTCCCAGTGGTCTACATGAAAGATTCGGTCTCATCTTCAGAGTTACTTTAAGGTCTGGTGAAGTAGGCAGGGCAAGTACTGGACCTCTTTGACAGATGAGGAAACGGATCAGGGATACCAAGTGACTTGCTCAGTGTCAAAGCAACTGAATGGCACTTCCCAGACTTGAGCCCTGGACCCCTAAGGCTGGGCCCTGCCCCACCTCGGCCTGATGAGCGACCCCTGCTGAGGTCCTCCCTTCCAATGTCTTCCCAGGATCAGGCAGCTAAGGACAAGGCCCTGCAGAGCATGGCTGCCATGTCGTCCGCCCAGATCATCTCGGCCACGGCCTTCCACAGTAAAGTGGCCCTCGCCCGGGGCCCGGGCTACCCAGCAGTCTCAGGGGTAAGTGGGGCTGCTCAGAGCCAGGGGCCACACCAGACCGGTTCTTCTCCCTCTTCCCTCTTTGCAGAGCCGGAAGTGTCGGCCGCCTCATTTCTCTTGATTGAATCCTCTTGGGCCAGGAGAGCCTGGGAAGGAGGGCACGAGGACCCAGAGGCCATCCTGAGTCACCAATCTTGGAACCGTCTTCTTAGGGTCTTAGCAGTGACGTAGCAGGGCTAAGAAGCCACCTCCATTAGCTGACCAACCAACCAGTAGCTCTGTTTTTACAGATGACAAAGTCGAAGTCCAGGGGCTGGAGTCAAGAGTCGGCATAGTGCCAGTGCATCCCTGAGTAGCACACTGCCACATGGCTGTGTCCCCACCCCACCCCCACTCAGGGACTCACCCTGCTCTCCTTCGAGGTGGAGAGTTGATGTCTAGGGACAGGCTTGCTGAGATTTTAAATTTCTCAGTCTAAGGACTGGCCTCTTTGCCATAACCATGTTAACTGAACTTTCTTTTTTTTTTTAAGTAGCATTATTTTTCTTTTTCTGAAAAAAGCATTTTTTAAAAAAATTTCATCTTATTTGAAAGGCACAGAGACAGGAGGAGAGAGACAAGCCAGAGAGGTTTTCCATCTGCTGGTTCATTCCCCAGATGCTCACAACAGCCAGGGCTGAACCAGGCTGAAGCCAGGAGCCTTGAAACTCAATCCAGATCTCCCGCATGGTGGCAGGGATCTAAGTACTTGAGCCGTTGCCTGCTGCCTTCCAGTGTGTGCATTAGCAGGAAGCGGGAGGGAAGTAGAGAGCTGGGGCCCAGGCACTTTGATATGGGAAGCAGGCACCCGATGCCATGCTTTGAGTAGCCCAGAATCGTGCCTCCTTCCCAGGGCTATATCCTCACAGGGCTGCCTTGGCCACAGGGGCTAAGTGGGTCTTCAAATGAGCCGTGCCAGCGGCACTGGTCCAGGTCTGTGGGGAACAGATCCTGTGCTCCTTGGGCCTCTGTTCCCACACTGCTGCAAGTGCACCGCAGAGAGCACCAGTCCACCAGCACTTTAAATAGATGAGTGCACGGTGGTTCTGCGGATGAGTGAGTTTGGGAGCCTTGATACTGAGAGTTGACACAGCCTTGAGTGCTGCTGTGTGCTGTAAACCTAGTGACACAGCATGCACCTGTCCCTGGGTCCCCAACCCTGCTGTTCTTCCCAGGGAGCCTTCCAGAGCCTGGAGTCCCCCAAAACATGTTTGGGGTGTCTGCTTGAGCCTGTTAGCATTAACCAGCTAGACCAAGAGCATCTACTTCCCTCCCTAACCCCCTGCTGGTTCAGATACACAGCCTCGCTCCCAGCCCAGGTCCCTGCTCTGTGTCTCTGCCGTGGCTCCCGTGTGCGTACAGGCCTGTGCTGACTCTGCGCTTTTTATCCTCCAGTTTTGGCAGGGAGCTTTGCCAGGCCAAGCCGGAACGTCCCATGAGTGAGTATTGCCTGCTGTCTGCTAGCAGTTGCTCCCTGAACTGAACTTGAACCCAGAAACTTGTGAACTGGAGCTTGGGCCCCCTGGGTGGGGTGGGGCCACCATCTGGGGTCAGCCTTTCCAGAGAGCAAAGAGCCCAGACACCGGCCCTCCTGCTTTCGGGCACCATGTGGCTGAGCTGCGAAGCCCACACCCCAGGGTGGCGTTTGCTAAAACCTCAGGCTGTCCAGGGTGCAGGCAGGGAAGGAGGTCAGGAATCAGGCCTGTGGCTGGCCCCGGAGGGAGGGAAGGCAGGAGGGGTGGCTTTCCCAACAGATGCACTGCTTCTGTGGATCAGGACATTGACCGGGAGGGCGTGGGAGGCCAAAGCCCAGCAAGGCCACTGACGACCGGACCACCAGGGCCTGCCCGAGACTCTGGGTGGAGGGCTGGCCAAGACTGACACTTCCTCCTCTTTCTTGCAGTGTGAAACCTTTCTCTCAACAGCCCTACTCTGTCCAGCCTCCGCTGCCTCTGCCAGGTGGGTTGGCAATGCGTGAATTGCACCGCTGTGGCTCCTGTCCCTGGGTTCCAGACTGGACACCTGCGTGTCCCTCTTAGATGTCGCCTTGTCGTGTGCTCAGGCCAGATCTCTCAGTCTCTAGGACACCCCATTCTTTGCCCCTAGCATGCACACTTCCCCAGAGTGCTGTCTTCCCTGGTGGTGCTCAGGGGTGGGCTGTGCCTGTGTCCTGGGGCAGTGGTCCCCCTTGACTGCTGACCTATAGTCTGCCTATGTACCTCAGCTCCTGGGGTGGCCTCCCTCATAGCGATACTGTCACTCTCCTGAAATGGGTGGCCCCAGAGTGCCCAGCTTCCTGACCTGGGGCCCCTTCCTAACTGAGGAAACCCTTGGCAGGGAGGAGTGGGAGGAGGGGGCTGGAGCATGACTGAGGCCAATGAGCTGAGTGAGCTCTGCAGAGTGGACCAGCTGGCCAGCTGCAGGGCCCCTCATCCCGTTGCTCAGGTGACCTGACCCTTTCTTGGATTTGCTGACATTCCATCCCTGGGCCCCACAGCCCTTCTACCCACTTAGGTCCCTGGCTGCCGCTTCCTTTCGTGGAAGCAAGTCACTAAGTCAGGTCCTGTCCACCCCACTGCCTCATCCCTCTTGACCTCTTCCTGTGCACTCCTGCACCAGGCCCTCCTGATTCTTGCCTGGGTGGTGGCAGCAGCCTCTTCCTGGCTCTCTGATTCTCTCATCGTCATGTGATTCTCCAAAGTGTCCATCTCACCTTGTCACTTCCGACTGAGGATGCTTTTGTGGTACCTTCAGGGTTCAATCTAAACTCTGCAGTAGGACTTGTGCAGTTGCACCAGCTTTCTCTCTCTCCCTCCAATCTGTATGCCACTCGCTGCCCTGCCTCTGGGCTGCAGTTCCTGTTGGCTGCCTGCCACCTGTCCACCTGTCCACCTGCACCCTGTGCACACACTTTCTGCTCATGATGTGATTACTTGTCTCTGTGTCTCTGTGCCTCACCTGTCACGCATGATACACAGCGATTCCTTGGTAAGCAGTGGCTGAACCAATGTATGGCTGAGTGACTCGGCAGATGCACTAAGCACCAGCTGCTGTGACTCAAGGCTGTCCACCCAGCCCTTCTCCGTCTCCCCTACAAGCTCTTGAGCTCTCTACCTCTGCACAGGGCACTGCTGTTCACCTGACTCCTGGGGGAAACTGGGATCCCTCACAGGCCTCTGTCACTTCCCTTCACGTCTTTCCCTCGTCCTCTCCTTACCACTCCTCGGCACTGCTTCACTTTTGGAAACCCACAAGGACCTTGCTCCTGAGCTGCCTAAACCTGGGTGCAGAGCTGATCCTTTCTCTGCCCTGCTTAGACCTTGACCTTCCCAGAGTCTCAGGGTAAAGTCTGCCCTGCTGGCCACCACCCATGGCTGTCTCTTCAGCCTTGTTTCCTGCCATTGGCCCAAATCTGCTCTTCTCTCCAGGCCTACGAGGTACTGGGTTTCCAGCTGTTCCCCAGCCCCACAAGCTTGCCTCTGCTCTTTCCTCTGCTTGCAGTGCCCTTTCCCAGTCTTCATCTAATGCTTCCCACCTGTCACAGCTTCTTACAAGCTCTTCAGAGAGCCTGTCCTGGGCACCTGTGCCTGCCCTCCTGGTGGACTGGGAGCTCCTTTGGTGCTGAGTGCATACCTTACCGATCTGTATCACACTCATCACCCATCCATTGATCTGATCGCAACCCTGTGTGAAAGGCTGTTCTGTGCCAGAGTCTGTTTTGGTGCTGGAGACACGGCTGTGAACCATACAGGACACCTGCTACTGTCCTGGGGTTGATGCCTTATTGCCATAGCTGGCTCTTCTGGTTCTTTCCCTGATTGGACCACAAGCAGCTCAGAAGGGCAGGACCTGACCAAGTTGCTGTCCCCATGCCCAGATCCAGTCTCCCTGGAGTGTGATTCTGTGCAGAGGCCTGAGTTGCATCAGCCCAGCCCCTCCCTGCCTGGCATCCCTTCTACCACCCTGCCCAGGACAGGAAGTCCCCCAGCCAGCAGTCCTCCCGGGGACAGGGGAGACCTGGGTCAGCACAGAGCGGGACAGCAGGGAGGGTGCCTGGAGACAGGTTCCATGTGCCCCTCCCTCTGTATGCAGGGTTCGAGTCTCCTGCAGGACCCACCCCGTCGCCCTCAGCGCCTCCAGCACCCCCATGGCAGGGCCGCAGTGTGGCCAGCTCCAAGCTGTGGATGTTGGAATTCTCAGCCTTCCTGGAGCAGCAGCAAGACCCGGACACGGTAGGTCCCCACTCCCTCTCCTCATCCCTGGAGGCCCCTGCTCCTGCACCTCCTACTCAGCTCTCTCTCTCTTGTCTGTTCTTCTGCCCCAGTCCACTTCGGGGCTTTGGTTCCCTGCTCTGTCCCAAACCTATGGACCCTTCCTTCCTCTACTTTGCTCTCCCTCTGCTCTGCTCATGTGCCCCTCCCTCCCTCCCAGCCCAGCCTGCTCTCAGCGCAGGGGCACCGTCCCAGCCCCTGCAGCCTGGCCCATCCTTTCTCTACTCTCGAGGGGCAGATAGAAAGCCAAGGAGCCTCCTGTGTCTGGTCTGCATCCTCTGTGCCAGCAGCAGGGAGCAGCCCTGTCCCCCAGCGTGTCCCCTCAGTGTCTTCTGACCTGGGTGACCAGCATCACCTGCCAAGGTCAGAGTAGCACCAGGAAGAGGCTGGTGGGCAGAGACCAATGCACTTGGGCCTTTAAAAAAATTTTTTTTAAAACTGTTGTTGGTTTATTTTTTGAAAGGGAGAGAGAGAGAGAGAGAGAGAGAGATCTTCCACCTGCTGATTCACTTCCCAAATGCCCCAACAGCCAAGGCTGGGCCAAACTGAAGCTAAGAGCCAGGAACTTGATCCAGGTCTCCCCACATGGGTTACAGGAACATAATCTCTTGCTGTCTGCTAGGGTGTGCTTCAGCAGGAAGCTGGATTAGAAGCAGAGCTGGGCCCTGAGCCCAGGCAGTCCAGTATGGCACATGGGTGTGCCAAGTGGTAGCTTAATGCCCACGCTAAATGGCCATCCTCAAACGTGTATTTCAGCTGAGGAGCCCATTAACCAAACAGGCTCTGACTCAGCAAAACAAAACCAAGACCTTTACTGTCTGTGTTTCATCAGTGGGGAAACCGAGGCCTGGGAAGCAGAGGAACTTGCTGCAGCCATGTGGCGGGTGAGCACCAGAGCCAACAGTCCTTCTGTGTCTGCCCCGCGGCTTCCCTCGTCTCCCTCAGTCCTCTCTCCTCTCCACAGTACAACAAGCACCTGTTCGTACACATCGGCCAGTCAAGCCCGAGCTACAGTGACCCCTACCTCGAAGCCGTGGACATACGCCAGATCTATGACAAATTCCCAGAAAAGAAGGGAGGCCTCAAGGAGCTCTTTGAACGGGGACCCTCCAATGCCTTCTTCCTTGTGAAGTTCTGGGTAAGCCCCTGGATAGCGTCTTCCTTCCTACACCATGGCTGGGAGGGCAGGCAGGACAGGAGCAGGGGAGGAGCAAGCACACGATGGCCCTCGGTGGTGGGAACCGCTGGGCTCCTGGGAGGTGGCCCTTTTCTGCCAGGGAGTGATGTTGTCAAGCATAGGCAGGAGTGGAGCCTTAAGGAGGAGATACCAAGCAGATAGGTGAAGAACAACTTGTGGCAGCTGCCCCTAGCAGCCCTGTTCCAAGGCCTGCAGCTACGCAGCTGGTCCTGAAAAGCTCATCTCCAAGGCATGTTGGGCCGGACAGAACCTGGACAAGGGAAGTATGAGGTTAGGACAGGTTGCCTGGCTAACACTACTGCAGGGCCAGGCATCCCCAAAGAAACACCAACCCGCTTCTCAACCTGCTTAGCCTGTAGTCCTGGTCTCTGCCGCTCTCTGCATCTGAACCCTGGACAGCTGCTATGTGGTTAGAGCCCCACCATGGCAAACTCAATTAAGACACTGCAGTTTTACATCAGGGCTGGACACCTGGCTCCAGCTTCCTGCTAATGCAGACCCGGAAGGCCAGTGAGGGCTGATGTAATTGGATCCCTGCTACCCTCCTGAGAGGTCTGGTTTGAGTTTCCAGGCCACCAGCTTCCGTCTTAGCTGAACCCCAGGTGTTGTGGGCAATCGGGGAATGAAGCAGTCAGTATGGGCTCTCTCTTTTTTTTGTCTCTGCCTCTGAAATAAATAAGTAAATAAAATCAAATAAAAATAAACTCTCCTCTGAGACCACGAGACATAGTAACTGCCCGGGACAGGGTCAGACCAGTGCAAACCAGGCCAGCAGCAAGGAAGGCAGGAAATCCTTCAGGCTGTGTGATTGAGGCTTTGAATATCCTAAGTGCTTTCCAGCCAGGCTGGGGCCCCGCCCACATTCCTCTTCCTGCTCCCTTTTTTGGTTCTGTTGACACCCAGGGGAGCCAATGACTCCTTCTAATACGCCTTGCTAGGAGATTCTTAGCCTTGTTTGTTCCCAGGCCACCTTGATAATCTGAAGGCTTGGCTTTTCTAGAAATACCCTGACACACAAGTCGACACCTAATTCCAGGCGGCTTGCCGGCCCCTGCCCAGGAAGCCCAGCCCGGCCCTTGTGCAGCTAAACCCGGGGTCACTGTCATGGAAGAGACCACTATTGGGGCTGAGACCCAGGTGCCCTGTCTTGAAGGTGCTTGGTTTTTGCACTCTGCAAGACAGCTTGTTGTCTGAGCAGGGTTGAGATGCTCATGGGTGTTGAGGTCAGGCAGGCTGTTACATAGCCTGCGGGAACGTGTGTGATGGTGAAGGCGGAGGGGAGTGGGCTCCGGAGGGTGGGAACCTTGTAGGAAAAGGTGTATGAGAGGGAACCGGAGAAAACAAAGCTGCAAAGGTGAGTTACAGCCTGGGTTTTAATCTAAGCTGGGATGCAAAGTAGGGAATATTTCCTTTTACTTAAGCTTCCGTTTAAATCAATGCAAGCTCATAACTATATTGTTAATGAATACCAAGGGGCTCATAAGGGGAAGTATCAGATTCTTATGCTGTTCCTCCTCGTGCCCAAGTCCCAAGCCCCAAGCCCCAGAGGCAGTGTTAGCTTAGTTCTAAATAATATGCTTATTTGGTTGTATCTTGGTGTCATGACTGGGATATAAGATTTTTATTTCATTATGGTAGAAAAAAGTAAGCTGTGTTACACCACTTATCTTCTCATCAGTATAATCCTAGCCAATAAGTTGTATATAGTTTAGTAAAAGCAATATAACATTTAAATTTTAAAATTATACATTGATTTATTTGAAAAGCAGAGAGATAGAGAGGTCTCCTAATCCCTGATTTACTTACCAAATGTCCTTAACAGCTGGCGGTGGGCCAAGCTAAAGCCAGAAGCTGGGAACTCAAGGCAGAACTTCCATATCAGTGGCAGGGATCCTACAGCTTGAGCCATCATTTGCTGCTTCCCAGGGTATGCACTGGGAAGAAGCTAGATTTGGGAGTGGAGCCAGGACTTGAACTCAAAACACTCCAGTGTAGGATACTGGTGTCCCGTATGGTGTCCTAACTGCTGCTCCGGACACCCACCCCTGTTTGCCTTTTTTGTCAATGTAGGTTTGTGGTTTTTTAAAAGATTTTATTTATTAATTTGAGAGATGGAGTCACAGACAGAGAGTGCTAGTTGACTCCCCAAATGGCCACAACGGCTGGAGCTGGGCTGACCCGAAGCCAGGAATCCAGAGTTTCTTCTGGGTTTCCCACATGGGTACAGGAGCCCAAGCACTTGAGCCATTCCCCACTGCTTTCCCAGGCTGTAAGCAGAGAGCTGGATTGGAAAAGGAGCAACCTGGACATGAACTGGAGCCCATCTGGGTTGCTGGCACCGCAGGTGGAGGCTTAGCCTGCTATGCCACAGCACCAGCCCTGCTAATGTAGTTTGATCACCAAAAACCCAGGAAGTTGGTTAATGACTCCATGTTGTTACTTGTACAACTTTTTTTTTTCCTGCAAATAAAAGCTATTTTACCTTGCTAGTGTTTAAATAAAAAGCTATTCTTAAACTTCTAGAGAAAACACACCTATTCTTTAAAATGTACAAATTTTCTCCATCAGTATCACCATGTAGAGGCCAGGGTTTGGCTTAGCAGTTGAGTTGGTTAAGGTGCCTCTACCCCACGTTTCATTCTTGACTGCACCACTGACTCTAGCTTCCTGCTAATGCAGACCCTGGGAGGCAGCAGATGATGGCTCAGGTAGCTGGATTCCTGCCTCCCACGTGGGAAAACTGGGCTGACTTCCTGGCTCCCAGCTTTTGACACCCCATCAGGTGCCATTTGGGTAGTGACCCAGGGAACTAGAGCAGTTTCTCTCTCTCTCTGCCTGCCTGCCTGTCAGATAAATTGAAAAAAAAAGGAATCACCGTGATTGGGCAGTCACTGGGGCACAGCAGGTTGAGCTGCCAGACCTCTGCATCTCAAATTGGAGTCTTGACTACTCTACTTCCCATCCAACTTCCTGTTAATGTGCCTGGGAGGCAGCAGATCATGGCCCAAATGCTTAGGTTCCTGCCACCTGCCTTTATTTTCCAGTTCATTTGCATGACCTATTGTCCTAGAGATTTCCTTAACTGTATCTTCTAACCCTTCTGAATTAGCTAAGATATGTGAGCACGTGTTACATAAAACTCAAGTTGTCAGTCAGTGTGAAGGAGGTCTGGAGGTAGAATGGGCTGGGCCAGTGTCTCCACGAAATCACCAGGGACCTGACTCCATCTGCCATCTTCAGTGTATGGTTTCTGTCCCCGAGGCTGGGACTGCTGGCATGGTAGCCACCACGTCCATATTACAAACATCTAATAAAAACCAAAAAAAAAGAACCAACTTAACTCCCCTCCATGGGGCTGTGGAAGGACCCACAGAACACTTGACCTGTTGTATGGTTGCATCTAGCAAAGGAGCCTGGGAAATGATGTTGTCACTGAATAAAGTCAGGGTTCTAATACTGTAGAAGAAACTGGATGAGTCTTTCTACTGTAAGCACATCAGTCCAGTTAATGGCATGTTTTTTCTTTCTTAGCAGTAAAATGGTGCTTCTCGTAGTTAACTAAGATTAGATTAATGGGGGTGGGTGTTGTGTTGCAGTAGATGAAGCCACCGCATGGGATGCTCATATCCCGTATCAGAGTGCCTGGATTCGAGCCTGCTTCTGATGCAGCTTCCTACTAATGTGCACCCTGGGAGGCAGCAGATGATGACTTTGCTATTTGGGTCCCAGCCATCCAGATGGCAGACCCAACTGGAGTTCTGGCTCATGGCGTCAATCAGGCCCAGAATTGGTTATTATAGCCATCTGGGGAGTTGAACCAGTAGATGGAAGACTTCTCTTTATCTCTCTCTCTATGTTGCTGTGCCTTTCAGATGAATAATTAAATAAATAAGTGGTTAGATTAATGGAGTATGGCAGCATCTCTGGCTTACCTTCTGTTGAAAATTTAATTTTGAGAAGGACTTTTTTTCTATTTGTTTGTATTTGATTTTTTAAAAGATATATTTATTTATTTGAAAGCCAGAGTTACAGAAAGGCAGAGGCAGAGAGAGAGAGAGAGAGAGAGAGAGAGAAAGATCTTTGATCTGCTGGTTCACTCCACAAATAGACACAATAACCAGGTCTGGGCCAGGCCAAAGCCAGGAGCCAGGAATTCCATCTGGGTCTCTCACTTGGGTAGCAGGGTCCTAAGCACTTAGGCCATCACCTACCACCTTCCCAATGTATTAGCAGGAAGCTGGATTGGAAACAGAGTAATTCAACTGGCATTTCAATATTGGATGCTGGCATCTCCAGTGGGGGCTTAACCCACTGCGTCATAACACTGGCCCGTTTCCTTTTAATCATTTTCTTGTGTTTTGGTCTCTTCTAAGTTGGAGAGTTTTCATTTGGAAGGCAGAGTTACAGAAAGAGGGAGAAGGAAAGAGAGAGATCTTCCATCCACTGGCTCGCTCCTCAGTCACTGCTACAGTCAGGGCTGGGCAAGTGGAAGCCAGGAGCCTGGAACTCCATCCAGGTCTCCCACACGGGCAGCAGGAGTCCGAGTACGTGGACTATCTTCTGCTGCTTTCCTAAGTGGGACTGAAAACTGCGCTCATATGGGATGCTGGCATCACAGGCGGTAGTGTACCCCACTTTACCACAGCACCAGCCCCTCATCTTGGTGAATACTTGTCTCCTGTTCTTTGTGCCATTGTCCTTGTGTGGTGTTGGCTGAGCGCTCCTGGTGCCAGCTGGGACTTCTCATGTCGTCGGGCTCTGTCCAGCAGCAGTGGGATGTGGACCCCGCTGTGCTACTGGGGAAAGCACCTGCTGTCAGTATGTTTCCTAGCCCTTTGTTTTTTCACGGAGGTCCAGAGTTTCTGAAGAGTACTCCTTTAAATTCCCTGACAGGAATATACTTGGCCACAAGCATTCTGGGAGTGGGATTGGGAAAGGGG